CAAATGTCTCGAGGAACGCATCAACCCCTCCTGAATGCCCTTCGATTTCCGTTTGCCATTTTTATCAAATCAATTATTATTTACCACAAAAGCGCCTGTTACAATGATTGCCCCTCAGCATTTTTTTTAATGATATAATTTGAGAATTGTATCCGCATCTACAATAATTTTGCCGCTGTGGGATTATATAGGCCCCATGATGGGATTGTGGTGGTGTGGTCCCGGGAGCCGCCCGAGCGCCGAACGGCCGGGAACTCCCTTCAGATCTACGACTGGCTGAACCCACCGAAATGCCGCGGCCATTTTCGAGGAACGCATATTTCCTCCCGGAGGCCTACAAAATGCAGAATGGTATATGTGTGCGCGGGACGCACGGAGCAGCCTTGAGTGCTACACTGTTACAAAGATCGCGGCGGCCGGGGTTTACGAGCGGCAGCCTCCGTGCCAACCAGAAATGAGAACCATAATTGGAGGGAATATCGGATCCGATTCGGTGCCAAAAAGGAAACCTCGGTCGACGTCGTGAAGTCCCTGAGATGCCATGCACAGTGCACCTTATGCTATGCAATTTTATCAACATAATAAGAAGGGGTAATATTTTTTTAGAAAAATACGAGAGAGAGAAAATTTGAACCGTACGCCGTAACTGGCCAGTGCAAAGCATTCAAGCTATCCATTCAAACAGAGAACCATTTAGTTGATACAAGGAAATCAGAGTTGTAAGAAACAAAATTTAGTTCCGAAAACCGCCTAAAATTTAGTCATCCCTTTTTAAAATAAATATACTATGGTCGCACCAATTCAAATTAAGCCAGCTAGACTAAAAAAAAATTTATTGTCACAAATAAATTTTTGTCTCCTCAGCTAACATTTCATCGGTTTTAAATTTGGCGCCTTGGACTAAACGGTCTTCTGGGTGCTGTTGTGCTTACTTCATTATTGTCAGTTGTCGATCGTCGTCGACAGAGTAGGAGACGCATGGGTTCCGATCGGCTCAGAACAGGCCTGGCAAGACGAAGGCAAAAGCGAGGCGGACGCCCGCCTGGCGACCAGACGGGGCCAAAGGCGGCTAAAGGCGGCCGAAGGCACGCCATGGGCTGCCGTGGACCCTCGCGCTTGGCCCCGCCTTGGCCGCCAGGGCGACAGAGAGAAACTGAGCCACTCTGCCCGCCAAAACACATCCTCGTTTTTATTCGCCCCCGTAAATGGGCGCAGAGAGGTAAATATAAAGAAGTATACGACTGCAAAGAGTAATCCGTCTTATTCACCCTTGAGGTGCTGCGTACTGCCACGCCGAATGCAGCAGGGACCAAGAGCTAAGCAGACGTTCCCTTCCCGCTTTGGTCTTGATATCGCTACAATTAGATTTCACCCCGCACTACATGCACAAAGAGTTCAGAACAGGAGCAACTGATACGATGATTTCGAGTGCATCATCGGTGCATTATGAAGCTGCTTTCGTTTCTCCGCCTCCCAACTCACCCGCTTACATTTATCCTG